GTGAACATCTAGGCACCGTGGCCTTGTCCTAGTTGTTGAGTGGCAATGAAGTTTTCTTTCAGTTTGGGGAAGACTTAGACAATGTACAAGCACATGTGTTTGAAGAGGGAATGCTGTAAATTTCAGTGCAAGTCTTGAAAGACAGAGGAGGGAGTCATTGTTTCCTGAAAACCCAGGTCTAGTGTGGAAGCCCTGGGTCCTGGTTGTGGTACCAACAGAGGCACTGAACATCTTGGAACTGAGTGCTTAGCTGTACAATCTGAGGAGATTAGCTTAGATCAGGGGTTCTCAAATTACTGTCATTTGAAGCATATAGTTCCACCATGACCCTATGGGGTGTGTCTCAAAAGAGGAGGGAAGCTTAGCAGATAGTCCCCAGGTATCCCATTTCAGCTTCTACTAAAGTAGCTTCCTTTCAGCCTTTTGAATTATATGCTAGAAGTATAGACTAGATAATGTATATTTTACTTATAAATAGATTTCTTCTTTTTGATAGAAAATGAGAATTTGGGGTTACATTATTTCTACTCTCTCTTCCATTCTTTTCCTTTTGTTTATTTTTGAGACAGGGTTTCCTGGATGTCCCCAGATGTCCTGGAACTCACTCTGCAGTCTAGGCTGGCCTCAAACTCATAGAGCGTTGCCAATAATTACACTATCTGGATAGCCAAGGAAGAAAGAAGATGAAATGACCATTGTCTTGTATGTGTAGCTAATGTCTCAATTATCAGGTGTACACCTATAGGAGGTAAAATCTATCATTTGGTCCCTTGTGGGATGCCATCTACTATTTGATTATTATACCATGACTACTGTCCACAAAGAAAGATACACAGACTAGATTTTGAATATTGAACTTTTGAGAATTTATATGATCGACTGTTCTTAGCACAGGATAGGACACATAGGAGCATGGAGTAGGGCCTCTGCATGACTAACTAGGTACAGCAGCTCACAGCTAAAAGCTTCCATCTAAACTCCAGTGCTCTTCTGCCCAAAGTATGGTTGTAAATCCTGCTGTATCTCAAGTGCCTTCCTGTCTAGAACCAGCTGCCCTAAGTTAGGATGGGAATGAAGTGTTTTATGCTAAAAGGTTAAAGGAAAAAGATCATTATTTCTTAGCTTGACCTTCAGCATTTTTAAGAAGAATAAAGTTACTAGTTAGGTGTCTTGGTCATGCTGTTTAATGAAGCCAGAAAGAAGGTAAATAAGACCATGTCAAATTTCCATAAATAGCCAAGTGATTGGTTGTAAGGACTGCAAAGGAAGTGGTTCAAAACATCTTACCAAGACTGTTGTCATGGTGTGTGTTCTAACTGTGCCATCAGAACACAAAGTGGAACCAAACAAAAACGACTTCACTTCCCATCTATGCTTTCCTGCTTTTTTCTAGGAAAGTTTTTTTCCCTCCAAACCCTATCAAAATGAGTTAGCATCCGCTAATTTAAAAACTGCTGCCAACCCATGGAAAGCACTCAGGCTGCTGCCCTTTTCACTGAATTCTTTTCATTAAGTAATGTAGATAGACACCATCCGTCACAGCAGCGTCTATGGCAGTTGCTTATAATAAAATAAAGGAGAATGTGAGCATGCTGGTGCTGAGCAAGGTAGCCAAGCAGCCCTCCGGCTTCTCATCCCAGTCATTTGCTCCGGCCTTTGTGAGAACAAATGAGATTTCTTGTTATGATGAGAGCCCTAGACACACAAGTGGGGATAGCATGTGTTCCTTCACCTGTTTCGCCATCTTACTCTTTTCTCCTAGCTTCCTTCTGAAGCTAGAGTATTAGAGTATTGTTCCTCAGCCCTGGTCAGGAAGTCCATCTGTACTTAGTTAAATGTGTGCAGCGTTAACAAGCGTAACACATCTTTACATTGTTAACAAAGCAGGTTTTTCCAACACAGGTTGATAATCCCACTCTTCATTCCCATCAAAGGTGTCTGAACAATGCAATTTGGGGGTTTTAGGTTAACTGTCAAAGGTAGAGAAGCAGTTGTTAGAAAGATGGGGAGGTCTTTCAATGTTGATATCAGAAGATTCCAAAAGCAAGTCAGAAGAATGCAAATATGTGAACTTTAAAAAAATATGGAACAAAGCCGGGCAATGTCTGTGCACACATTTAGTTCCAGCACTCTGGAGGCAGAGGCAGGAGGATCTCCATGAGTTTGAGGTTAGTCTGGTCTACAGAGAAAGTTCAGAACAGTCAAGAATACACACACACACACACACACACACACACACACACACACACACGGCCAGCTTTTTCTTTTTGGACACCAACCAGCTCCCAAATCATGACATAGAAACATTAGTTTTGAATACTCAGCCTACTTTAGGCTTATTTCTGGCTATCTCTCTTTAACTTAGAACAACCTGTTTCTCTTTAGCTACCATTTGCCTCAGGACTTCCTACCTTTATTACTTCCATATATCTTACATTCACTGCTTCTCCTTTCTACCTGACGGGCAGCTGCCTAGCTTCTGTCCCTAGGCATCTCCCTTGATCTCCCCTCCTTCTTCTCTCATTCCTCCATTTTTGAGCCTAGATTCCTTCTATTTATTCTCTCTGCCTGCCTGTCTTGTCTGTCCCTCTTCTGCCTAGCTATTGGCTGTTCAGCTCTTTATTACATCAATCAGGTACTTTTGGTAGGCAAGGTGAAACAGATGCAACACATCTGTACTTAGTTAAATGTGTGCAGCATTAACAAGCGTAACACATATTTACATTGTTAACAAAGCAGCAGAAATAAGTGTCTAACACATCTTTACATAGTTAAAGTAATATTTCTAAGGATAAACAAATGTAGGACATCATTGCCTAGTTAAAAGGGTGGGTGTGGGTGTGAGAGGGAAGAGAGAGAGAGAGAGAGAGAGAGAGAGAGAGAGAGAGAGAGAGAGAGAGAGAGAGAGAGTATAACTAAGTACTTAGTGGTTCAGGTGAATGCATGCTATATTAGATAGGTTATATGTCAGGAGATCCAGACTCTAGATTTGGCTTTAATACTAAGTTAGCTATGATTTCCTGTGTTCATTGTGAGAACAAGCATGACTTCATGTATTTATTGTGAGAACAAACAATGAAATTACTCTTGGTGTCAAGGGGCACTAGCCACACTCAGTGGGGACAGTATTGTGTTCCTTCACCTCTTTGGCTTGGATTCATTACTAGTTTGTTTCTGTGCCTTGTTGCTAAGAAACATGAAATGCCAATGAAAAGTTTCTCCCAAATATACCCTAAAGCTGTGCTTTGCTGCTTTATCATTGATTCCCTTTATTGTGGGAGGCTTTGGCAGCAGAGTACTATTGCTTCTCTGCCATGATCAGTAGTTTGGCATCAGCAAAACAGGTTCCTAATCCCATCCTTAAGTCCATGATTCTCTGATTTGGACTGGCTCAGCTGGGAGGTTTGTGTGCTCTCAGTTGGACATCAGTCTGGGTCACCTGAAGTCACCTTTACATCAGCCAGTCAGCTCTGCTTCTGGGCATTTACTGGCTGCCCGCTGGAGCAGCCTTTGGGATGGCACGCATAGAAAGTATCCGGGGCCATATGTCTCTTGTCATTAGCAGGTTGTCTGGGGCTGGTTCACATGGTAATGACAGGTCCATGTGGAAAGTACAAATGTGCAAAAACCTGTGACAGACGTTTTCATGTGGAATCAGGTCAAAAGTCTAGTCTAGATGCAGGAAGTAGATCCCAACGCAACAGCAAAGTGGGAGGCACAGTAGCTGAGGACACTGGCTGATCTAGTACACCCCAAGTTTGTCTTCATAACTTGTTGCTAAGAAACCAAAATGTCAATGAAAATCTACTTCAAAATCCCCCCCGCCCCCCAAATAGCCCTGTGCTGCCTCTCTTTGATTCACTTTTAATTATGGGAGCCTTTTGGAGTTAAAGTTAGATCCTTTAAAGACTATGGAACAGAAGCAGCTTGTGACTCTCCAGTGCAACCGTGCATCTTATGAGGATTGCCTTCTACCTCTGTAGCCATCCTAGTGCACAGTCTCAAAGGGTCATTGCCATCCATTATCACCCACCTGTTCTCCTCCAGTTCCAGGGCAACACCTGCCTGGTATGACATGCACCAGTGTTGCTTTATTCCCTTTGTATTACTTCTTCCTGCTATATCTAGTTTAGTGCCTTTTTATACATTGGTATCTGCCCCTCTGATATGTATGGTGGATCCCTTCCAGTTGTATTTTACTTTTATGCAGCACGGCATTTGGTAAAGTAAACTAGTCACGGTGTAGTGCCAATGCTGTTTCTAATGTGCACTGCTAAAGGTGATTCTTGCCAATTCTATACAAGTTCTGACTCAGCCCAGCTTTCTTTCAGTTTGTGAAATCTACTAAGATTGTAACACGCAGTGGTATACCTGGAGGCAGAAAGTTCTGCTTGCCAAATATATTTTCCTTTATAGCAAGTGCATAAATTGATGTCCGGGGAGATTGTGGCTGTATTCATGCAATGAGGTGCATTGCTTTCTTCAGTTGAGTGTTTTCCCTTCTACCATTCATTCCTTGAAGACTGTGCCAAGCTCCTGGTCAGATATACCTGTAACACACCCCAATCTCTCAGTATAAAATGATAATTAATAATAATGTAACTTTACAGTTGGTGTGGTGTTCTGCTTCCATTAACAGCACTTGTTATTTCAGGGTGTTTTAACTTGGTTATAAAAATTGACTTTTGGGGTAGGACTTGGCTTGAGGACTTAACAGAAAATGGCTTGTTCCTAATATTTTTAAAAAGGAAATCCGTGTTACTTGTCAATTCTATGCTTCTGATATTGGCATGTTAGTTTTATTTCTAATTGAGTTGGTATAATTCTTCCAAGCCCTATAAAGCTGAGTACTCCCAGGACTTAGGGTTGACAGGATTAAGGGTGCTCACACAGTTTGTCATTGCTTTTACACTGTTTCTTATACCTTAACAAGCATTTGATTTAAGAAGAAATCCATTTTTTACATTGCATTTTCATGCTTGTTTATTATCTTATTGTAGGTCTGCTAGAAGAGACTCAAAGAAAAGACGAAGAAATGGAGACTCTACAGGTAAAGTCAATTCTCAGAGAGGGCATATATCACTGTGATAAAAAAGATTTGTTTTCTGATCTGTTATCTGTTCTTATTACCAAATTCAGACTGCTCCGGCATATATGATGACAAGGACCACACGGACACATTAAAGCTGAAGTCTGAATTTGCTTCCCTTAGTTGCCTTTGAGTGCACTTACCGTTCTAAAGAGGCGGCCAGCTCAACTCATAGGCTACTTGTGTGCCTTGGTGCATTATAATGGGAGCCTTGGCATTCAAAGATGAAGACAACATGCTTCCAAAAAGCAAAGCTTTTTAAATTCATGAATTTAAATTTTTAAATTCATGTCAATGAATTTATAGAATGTGTATTTTCAAGTCAAAGTCAAACTAATTCTTACTCAATGAATACCACCTACCTGTGGTTAACTAGGAGCGCTAACACATCCTTGGAAGTCAGGTTTATCTTGAATAGACTCTCAACTTACCATGGGTGCATGCACATTTCTCAGACTGGAAAATTATGGTTGAAAGGTTCTGTTAGAATTCTAATTGAGAATTCCATGGTCTAAGCAACTGCTGTTCCATCTGAGAGCAGGGAAGAACTCCTTTCCTGCTCTTGCACAGGGCTAACTTTGCAATGGGTAACCCACCTGTCTGTCTTCATTAGAGCAGACATAATCACTCCTACTCACATGACACAAGCAGTTCACTTAATGTCATGTTGGAGATTAAGCCCTGTAAATACTTGAGGCATTTAGATATCTTTGTGGGCCTTAAGCAGTAAAGCAGGACTGGAGGATAAATTAATGAGCTAGTGTGAGTGCTTTAGGGGTGAATATGTTTGCCTCTGCTAAATGAAGACTGGGTCAGGTTAACCAGAGCAAGCAAGGGGGACTGGGTTTTAGTTGGATTTTCTTCATTTGATGATGTATCCACTGTATAATTGAACTGAAAATGCTCAGGTTGTATAGTTCTGGATATGAAGTAAGGATGACACATGTTAGCTGTGCATAGTTTTGTATAGATTAAGGTGCTTCTTTTTTTTTATACATTTGCTCACTAGATTAAGATGTAAAAAACATACAAGCATGAGGCCAGGAAAAATATCAAAGATATATCTACCCTACTCACCTCTGAAGTTAGTGCCAGAGGTGCTTATTGCTTATTATAGAAAGCACTGTGTTACACTTACCACTGGTCCCAGAATAGCATGTGTACGCATATCTATTGGCTCTATCTAGCCTTTTAAAATGGTATCATGGATCATTTATGTCTCTCATAACGAGAGTTTGTACGCACATCATGGAGAAGTCTTAACTGTTAAACAATAGAGGTAAAAGCCATGGAAGATAGTTATGTGTCTCTAAGTTTTTGTACTCCAGTATCAAGTCCATTGGTGAGAATCCAGAAAAGGCCACTTGAGGAAGTAAGTTGAGTTTTTAACCCAGTAACTCTATGGTAAGAAATGCTTTCCAAAACTGTTGTGTTGACAGTAAAGAGTGGAAGTCAAGAGCTTGGATAACTGTGGGCAACTCAATTAACTTGGCTGTGCCATCTTCTTATCTGTGATACCACCTCATAGAACTATCTCCCCAAAGTGTTTAATTTAGAGTAGACCAGCCCCAGAATAGTAACTTACTATCATCTTACACATATGTATAATCTTATACTTACATGTAACAGTTGGTCTGCATTTAACATTATTTTCCTAAGGACTGGTGTGCTTTCTTTGTCCTTAAATCTAATCTATTTCTATAAAGACTTATTGAACAAATATTGAATGAATGATAATATTATTGTACATGGCAGTTCTGGGTGCTAGGTAGTTAGATAAGCCGTGTGTCTATATTATGGATATATTATTGCCTTCACTATCAGAATTCATGGAAAACCATTATAAGGGTGCTTACAAAGAAATATTGAAAAATGCTGTTAGAGGAAATGTGTTTCAACATGTAATAAGAACACTAGCCCTTATTTGTTGTAGGTTGGGCTGATGCAAATGACTGGGAATGAATATATTGAAAGCAGATAGGTTGAGCTGGCATGTGGTGATGATCTGAGTGGGCTTCCTAAAGCCAGTGTTTAAATGAGCAGTAAGACTTATCAAGGCACATTTGGGAATCTGGGAAAAGTTTCAGCGCTGTGAAGCTGTGGCAGAAGAGCACACTCTGAGGTTTATGAAACTGCATGTAACTTATTGTGATGGAAAGTCATGTGTGAAAGAGGAGAGGCAGATGGGTGTAGAGTAAACACAGGCCCAATGACCTTGTACATTTATATACATTTGATGTATATAAAACCTGTGAAGGGTTTAGAACATAAAAACAGTATGATGGAATTGATGTCTTGAATGTATATGATAATAAAGTTGAAAATAACTGGGAGCAGATTAAGATTGAATGCAAAGAGGTGTCTCCAGTTAGGAGTTTTGAGACTCTTGGCAAGGGATGATGGTACCTTGCATTGGGTGACAGCAGCCAGTATGAGGAGGGGTAGAAGCTCCTTACTATATGTTATGATTGAAAAGAGAAGGAGGGGAGAAGGGAGGGAGGGAGGGAGGGAGGAAATAGAAAAATAAAAAAGTAGTTTAGCCTTTAGGAAGTAAAAATTTATTAAGCAAAGCTCTTGGCTTACATGATGAGGTCACTTCATGGATGGCTATTTTGCTAGCGAGTGCCAGAAACTGATTATTTTAGTTATTGATATGTTGAAGTGCCCAGGAGTGGGGTTTGTTTGTGTGATGATCGTAAGTCTGCAACTCAGAAGGAGCTGAAGTGGGCATGAAGAACTGGATGTCACTGATACTGCTGTCCACAGCATTTGGGTGACCTAACAGTCACAGAAATATGGAGAATGAGAAAAAAATGAAAGCCTAGGCTTGATCACAGGGCGTACCAATATTTACATCACAGATAAAGACAAAAACCTATTAAGTTGTCAAAGACTTAAAGTAAAAACCTTCAAAAGAACATACAGCTTACTGTGTCTGTATTTCTTCCATATCAAGGGGGGAAACAGATAAGAGAACAGAATAAATATTTGTTATAACTGAATCTTTTTAGTTCTTTTTTTGTTAAGTGAGAAGTTCTATCAGAAGGGGAGAGAGGGGGAAGGAAAGAGAAAAGAGGTAAGGAGACACAGAGACAGAAGGCAGAAGGGACGAGGGAGACAGGAGAAGTCCTGTCCGCCCCAGGGGAACTGGGACGTGTTCCCAGCTGGAAGAGTGAATCTTTTTAGTTCTGCGTTTGGCCTCAGACCTGAAATTGACTACCCTCTTAATCCTGTCATGTCTATGCTTTAACTCCCATGCACTTCATTTTCTAAGTGTTCACTACAGGGCACAGGCCTTGCCAAAGCAAGATCTTGGTAAGTTTCTATAGACTAAACAGATGAACAGCACCCACTCATCTCCTCAAGGCCCACCCAAAGAAAAACTACACTCACCCTGTCATCATTTCCCATTTAAAGACTTTAACAAAGACACTCAGTTTCTTCCCTCCCTCATTCCTTCCCTCCCTCATTCCTTCCCTCCCTTATTCCTCCCTCCCTCCCTCCCTCTCTTTCTTTCTTTCTTTCTTTCTTCCTATCTGCCTCTTGCTTTCTCTCTCCCTTCTTTCCCCCCTACTCCCTGCCCTTTCCTACCCTGGTCTACTCAGCACTCTCCTTTAACTGTACAAAGTGCATACCATGGCAAGTGTAGGAAGAGGCGGCAGGAAAGGGTAAAATGGCTGGTAGAGAATACTATCGGTCTGTCAAAGAATCACAGACGATGAGATATATGTTCGACAGCTCGATGGTTACAATGCAGTGAAGCTTCACTGGAGCTTCACATTGCCTGGCTCCTCTCTTTGTGATACTCATCTGCAGTAACATTGTGTGTTACGCTTCCTAACCCCTACCAGTGTATGGTGCAGTATCACAATCCTATTTACACGTGGGTTTGAGATACACAGAAGGAAACATCTCAATTTCAATCTTGATGCTGGTAGAAACATTTAAATTGACAACGGAGGTAATCCATTTTCCATTAATTTACTGAAATAAATGTATACCCTGGCTTGATATTTTGCTGGTGATGGCTGATTTTATTTTCATTTCTTCAAGTACCAACCTGCATGACTCATTTTTCACAGACTTCTAGTTTTTCCTTTATGTTGCTATGCAAACCCCACAATGCTGATGAAGAAAAGCGTCACAGGGCTCTGTCAGAAACATGCCATAGAATGCATGTAAAAGCTGGTACATTGGTGCTGTGCCCCAGTACCGGGGAGGCAGAGGCCCAGGTAGCTTTCTTGGTGAATTCAGGACAAGTGAGAGACTCTGTATCAATAAGTAATTAATAAATTAAAAGTAAAAGGTGGGCGCCTTCTGAGGAAACACACTTGATATGGTCCCCTGACCTCCACATGTGTGCCTGAACACACATATGGAAACACACACTCACACAAGTAGCAGCTCAGAGTGTTATCTGAGAGCCACAAGCAGAGAGCCCAGCAACTCTTAGGCTCTTCCCTTTTTGTTCATTTATAGTCATCTTTCTTTCCATTTTATTTGAAATGGGTTAAAGTTTAGATGAACATGAGGCTTTGGGGTGGCATTACATATCTTATGAATTAGAAGCCTGGGCAGTTCTAAATTCTGCACTCCAAGCTTTTGTGAGAACCGTGAAAGCCTTGTTGCCTGGCAAGTCCTCACTGACTTTGAATTCTACACATGCTCACTGTGTTCTTGTACAGACCCTTCCCCACTCTTCATCCTCCCCCCCGGCCCCCCCCCCCCCCGCCTTCTTCCCTTATTCTTCTTTCTCCCTCTCAAAACAAACAAACAAACAACAACAACAACAAAAAAAACAGGCACAACAAGAGGGGTCTGAATATGAGGGTCAGTTCCACCTTCTTGGAAGAGAGTAGAAGCCTTTTGTAGGGACATCTATAATTCAAATATTGCTGCAAGTATTTGTGGACACATTATTTAATACCATTGAAAGTGTCACTGGAAATAAGAGCTAATCC